ATAAAAATGAATTGATCAACATATCTCAGCAGTTGGAGGATAAAATCTCAGTACCTAATCCAAGTAAGAAACTCAAAGTGGTTGTGGAGCAGGTGGAACAAGTGGGGGATGCCAGCCTAGAGTGACACCCAAACCCTCAATGCCAGCCCTCTACAATTTCCCAAATTAGAGAGTCAGTGAGGACTCACCACCTAGTTTTTTCTTTCTCTCAGAAACCAAGAAGTCTAGTGCATTTATGAAGTCTGAGTTAGAAAATTGGGGTTTGATGACAGAATGGCCACAGTTGAACCAATGGGATTAAGTGGTGGACTACTCCTCTTCTGGAATGCAAATGTTTCTGTTATTCAGATACTGAAAAAGTCCTTTTATATAGCAGTTGAATTCTCTACTGACTCCTTTAGCCGTCAGTGGGGTATTGTTGTTTATATGAATGCCTGCAAACAAAAAAGAATTGAACAATGGGCTGAGCTAGAAAGGGACAAAGCTAATTGGGGCCAAGCCAAAGGTGGTTTGCTATAAGAGATTGGAATGATCTATGTGCTCCAGAAGAAAAGTTGGGAGGCATTGCTAGGAATGACAGAAGTCTCATGGGCTTCAACAGTTTCATTAAAAATATGGAGATGGAATAACTCAGTATGAAAGGCTATCAGTACAACTGGCGCAACCTCAGAAATGAAGAAGGCATGGTTGAAGAAAAATTAGAAAGGGCTTTTGCTACATTGGACTGGAGACAGTCTTTTCCTAATGCTATGATCACTAATGTGGTAAAGAGCTCCTCTGACCACGCTCTTCTCCTATTGGACATGGGTCAACCTCAGCCTAAGAGACAAGCTCGTTTCTATTTTGACAAGAGAGGGTTAATTTGGAGGGATTCAAAGAAACAGTAGAAACTGCTTGGCTCTCTCACAATGATGGAACTCTATTCTATAAACTCAAGGAAAAGGTCAAGAGAAACAGATTAGCTCTGCTCACATGGAGTTCCAAGCTTAAGTCCCAAAGCCAGCAGAATATGAAATCCTTTCTAGAAAACTTGAGCACCTGAGAAACAACAAAGCAACTGACTACTAGGAGCAGTGGAATCAAACAAGGGCAGCACTAAATAAATCCCACTCCTTTGAAGAACTTCACTGGCAACAAAAGTCAAGGTTAAGGTGGCTCAAAGAAAGAGATGGAAACATGAAACTTTTTCATGCATATACCCTCCACAAGAGGAAACTTAATGCCATCTCAAGACTTATCAGTCCAAGAGGCACTGAAATTACCACTCAGAGATACATTGAAGTGCATATCTCAGAATTTTACACAGATCTTTTCTCCTCTGAAAGTAGTTGGAATGGGACTTTATATTGCCTCTTATCCCCCACACAATCACAGCAGACATAAATTTGGCTCTTTTAAAGCGAGTATCAGAAGAAGTGGTTCGCAAGGCTCTTTTCTCTCTCCACCCTGACAAAGCTCCAGGAGAAGACAATATGAGCGCATTATTCTATCAATATTTCTGGTCACTCATTAAATCTGATGTGATGGAGGCTTTTCTTAGTTTTTTTTTTTAATCTGGCAGTCTTCTCAAATACTGGAACCATACAAATCTTTCTCTTATTCCAAAGGTTTCTAATCCTGAATCATTGGGGAAATTCAGACCCATAAGTTTATGTTGTGTTATCTACAAGACTCTCTCCAAGGTTCTTGCTCAGAGACTCATGATCTATATGGATAGCTGCATTAGCATTCATCAATCTGCCTTTATTAAAGGAAGACAGCTCACTGACAATGTTATCATAGCTCAGGAAGCATTCCACTACCTCAATAGGCACTCCAGTTAAAAAATTCATTTATGGCTCTTAAGCTAGACCTTATTAAGGCTTTTGACAGGGTGGAGTGGCATTGCCTTCACAGAATCATGCTTCAGATGGGTTTCAGTCCTGATTTTATTAAGCTCATCATGGTCTGCGTTTCATCAACTTCTATATCTTTTAAAGTGAATGGTAATGTAAGTGGCTATGTTCTACCATCCAGAGGTATAAGGCAGGGGGATCGACTATCCCCCTATCTGTTTATCATTGTTGCTGAGTTATTGACTGCCTTAGTCTAGAATTCTCTCTCTCAGGGACAGCTTAATGGTTTGAAGCTTTCCAAGAATGGGCCAACCCTCTCCCACCTCCTCTTTGCTAATGACTCCCTATTTTTTCTCAGAGCTGGGGTGGATCAGGCCAGACATCTCATGACTATCTTAGAGCAATATAGACTGTTCACAGGGCAGAAGGTCAACCTTGAAAAATCTATTATTTACTTCAGCAGAAACACACCTCAACACCTTCAGGACAACATTTGCAGAGAATTGTTGGGGATTGTTCCTCACATGTCTACAAGATACTTGGGCCTTCCTCTGGGAATAGGCCGCTCTAAGAAAAAAGTATTTGAGTATCTTCTAACTGCCATCAGGAACAAACTGCAAAATTGGAAATCCAAACTCTTCTCTGCAGCCGGTAAAGAAGTACTTCTTAAATTAGTTCTGCAGGCACTTCCCATTTTCACAATGTCATGTTTTAAGTTGCCTGCCTCTGTAAGCCATGAAATAGCTAAGTTGTGTGCTCAGTTCTGGTGGAAATCATGAGACTCCTTGACCTCTGGTATTCACTGGAAAAAATGGGATAAGGTAACACTTCCCAAAAATTCTGGTGGTCTCGGTTTCCATGACATAAGTCTTTGTAATGAGGCTCTAATTTGCAAACAACTTTGGAGGATAGCTTCTAATCCTGATTTGTTGGTGAGTCAAATCCTTAAAGATAGATATTTCCCCAACTGCTCTATCACCTCAGCTACAAGAACTCAAAATGCCTCATGGATGTGGAATAGCTGGCTTGTTGTCATGCCTTTCATCTCCAGATGTCTGAAGATTGAAATTAGGAATGGCAGTTCTACCAGAATAGAAGATCCAAATTGGGCTCCTCAGTTGCACAAGCCATAGCCTACATTGATTGATATTGACAGGGGCATCTTATATGGGTTAAAGACTTGCTTCAGTCTGATGGACACTGGATTGAATGGTTGATCAGGCAAGTTTTTGATACCATTGATAGAGAGGCAATTCTAAAGATCTGTACTCTTAATCCTGCAAGATCAGATAGATTTCTCTGGGGCCTTGACCCAAAGGGTGAATTCTTAGTGTCTAGTGCTTATAAGTGTCTTGTTGCTCAAAAGCTCCTCCAACTAGATATCCCAGAGGCCAGCTCAACTTCTCTATCTCTGTACCGAGCAATGTCCAAAAACTGGAAACTTAAAGTGATTGGGAAGTGAGGCACTTCCTTTGGAAATGCCTCACTGGCACCCTGCTTGTTGCTGTTAATTTAAGGAAAAGAGAGGTGAATGTCAACATTCTATGCCCTATGTGTGGAGATCATCCTGAAACTATTGAGCACATTCTGTTCACATGTCCCAGAGCTGCTAGATTGTGGAGAATTTTCTCTTGTTCAATGGGATGGCCTTAATCATCTTTCTCACTCTTTCAAAGCTTGATGGCAGCATCTTTGTTCCATCAAACACTCTGAGGTTGCAATGGACAGGATTCAGCTCTCCACCTACCTACTATGGTGGTTTTGGAAGTCGAGGAACTTGTGGGTTTTTCAGAACCAGCTCATTCCTGAATATATTTTGATCAAAACAGCACTTAAGGATTGGATGGATTTCTCTCTAGCTTTTTAGTTCCTCTTTATAGGTTCGGTTTGGTGTCTTGTTTGTTTTTTCTGTCTTGGGGTTTGTTGGTTTCTGTTGTAGGTTTGATTCTGTGATTTCTAGTTAGGCTCTAGAGTAGTTGGTAGGACAACAGTTTCTTTTATGTTTCTCTTCTTTAGCTTTGTTGCTTTCTTGAGGCTCTAGGTGCTTTTTACAAGTACCTCTCAGTTTTTATTTGGGTCAGTGGGGATTTTCCCCCATGCATATTCGAACATTGTTCCCGTGGTTTTTTATATATATCATCCCTATCGTTCTGGCAAAAAAAGCAAAGTATATCAAATTTTTTTAATACTTTTTTAATATATATTTAACGAAGTATATTATTTTATTTTTTGCTTATGTGGTTTTTGGATTTCTTTATTATTATTATTTTTTTTTTATCTACGTGTAGTTGTTTACTAGGAAAGAAGGATGTCACATCACGCCATGTAAACAACACGTAGGAAATTAAAGAAAGTTATAATTTCACGTCATTACTTAATCATGCCACGTCAGCTTTTTATTTGAGTGGAGTGATTACTGTATCTTTTCCGACCAAAATGCCAATTACATGTTTATTTTTTTTTCGTGAGGGACAACAAAATATCTTTTTTGTCGTGTATCATCTTTTAAATTTTTGTCTTCGTCATATTATCAGTTAACGTATGAACATTTTCCTTCTCCACCTTTTTAGATTTTCCATTACCTCTTATGAAAAAACAACAATTGAACAAGTATGTTCATATGTGATATATAACTCTCGTAACGACTATTAACCATATTTAACAATAAATAACATTTTGCATATGAACATTTACTGCCCAATACGGATGAGGTCTCTCCTCTATATATAAAGTCATCACTATCATCTTGACTCCCTACACAGACTCCCATAACTCCACCTACTTTAATTCGCTATTCACACGAGATCGGACTCCAAATTCAAATGAATTTGCTTGTTGTAAAACAATTGAAATGTGAAATAATAAAAATAAATAAATAAATGAATAAATAAATCTCAAAGGAAAATGATTTGGAGTTAAACAAATGGGGTTTTAGGAGAGAGGAAAAACAAAAGCCTGTATTGATGAACGGTAAGAAGTGTGTGGTTTTAAGCCCCCACAAGTACATATGATCGAGTAAATCTATAAAATGTGCTAGTACAAGTAAATACCTCAAATGAGATTTATTACTACAAAAGAAAGGACAGATATTAAAGGAAGATGCAAATGAACCCTCATAATTAAGCAGCATGTGTGTGATGAAACCCTTTTGTATTCTGGAGTTGTTTAGACCCAAATAACACTAACCGGACTGGCCACAGCATGCTTCTCATCCGACCACACGATTCTCCCGAACATATTCGTACCGGCCGGCATTGGATCTGCAACGACTGTCAACGTGAAGGACTTGGTTTCTTTCTTTTGACGAAAAATCAACGTTTTAGGAGTGACATCAATCTTGGCCAACTGACTCGGTGAAGATATCGACACTTGGTACTTTGTCCCGTTTGGTCCGACATTGGTGACTGTCCTCCTGAAAACCACTTTGGATTTACCCTTTCTAGTTGATGAGATGGCGGCTGCGAAAGAAGGGTAGTTGAGGTCATACACTCTGTACGATGCATTTTTGTTGCATTTAAAAATTTTTGTCCGTACAATGGCGTTGATCTGAGAAGAATCGTATTTTATCGCGCAGAGGAAATTCAAATAGTCGTATTTTGTTAGGTCGTAGATCAGGCCCGGGTCCAAGGCGCTCACGGGATCCACATGCCCTGAACCATACGCGAACGGGTTCGACGCCTTCCCCGTGGCTACATCCAGCAATGGCCTCCCATCTTTATAAGACGAGTAAGCTGTGGTCATGAGAGCTGAGCGGATCGCAGCTGGGCTCCACTCTGGATGTGCTGCCTTCAGCAGTGCCGCCAATCCGCTGACGTGGGGGCACGACATGGACGTACCAGATTGTATAGCGAAATCGACCTTGCGGGTGTCCATGGCTAAGCCAGTGGGACCCACCGCTTTTGTCCATCCGGCGAGGATGTTGACCCCGGGCGCAATGAGGTCCGGTTTTAGGATTTCGATGGTAATAGGGTTAGGTCCCCTCGAGCTAAAGGCTGCGACAACTGGGGAAGGCTCGATTCCGATCTTTGTACCTCCAAACACAATATTGGCGGTGGCGTTGGAATTTCTGGAAACGTACGCTCTCATCCCATCGCCCGCCTTCTCGCCGACCAGCAAAGCCGGGTTCAAGTAAGCGTCAGCGATGAGCTCCTCCCCGTTCTCTACAGTGTTGGCCAGAATCATCCCTGTTCCCCCGGCTTCGTGGACCACCGCGCCCTTCTCAACTCGAGCATTCACCCCTCGGTCACACAACACAATCTTACCTTTCACTTCTTTTTGGATGAGGGACCCCTCGGTGCAGAGGCTAGTACCTTGGGTGCTAACGTTGCCAGCGTAGACGATAGCTCCGGACAATTTCCGCTGCCCGGTGTAGAGCGACACGCCGGTGAAATGTCTCCCGTCCCCGAGCGTGACTTTCGTTGGGAAATCGCGGTCGATGGTCCCCGCGCCAACGGTGAGTATCCACGGCGCAACGTTTGCCAAGCTAAATTCAGCGGGGCCGCCGTTTCCCGCAGAGCACGAGACGACTATGCCTCTTTCCATCGCGGCGAAAGCTCCTATTGCGATTAGGTCACCGTAGTAATTTACCATATGGCCGCCCAGCGACAAGGACAGGACGTCGACGCCGTCCCAGATGGCAGTGTCCATGGCGGCCAGTATGTCTGAGTCGAAACAGCCTTCCGGCCAGCAGGTCTTGTACGAGGCGAGCCTAGCAGCGACCGCCATCCCTCGTGCGGTCCCATAGGCCAAGCCGTTTACGTTGGCCCCGGGGACGGGGGACCCTGCAGCCGTGCTCGATGTGTGGGTCCCATGACCATCATAGTCCCGCGGGGATATAATTGGCTTCTCATCAAGGGCCACCGTCTGCCCTGTTTGTTTGAGATATTGTAGATATTGACGGTAGCCTTTCGAGAATGACCTCGCCCCAATCAACTTCCTGTTGCAGCTCGACTTGTTGAAATCGGCTGTGACATCACACGCACCTCTCCAGTCAGTCGGGATGGGGCCAAGTCCGTCGTCTCGGAAGCTCGGACTGTCAGGCCACACGCCTGTGTCCAAGACTCCGATGATAACTTCACCCACCTTTTCAGGTTTGGGAAGTCTAGATTGTGCGGTCTTGTTTTCGAGACCGAGAAAGAAAGGAGTCCAGGTCGTGAGGGGCCTGTAGATTTTTTCCGGGATGACGGACGACACTCCAGGCTGGGCCTTCATGAGCTCGGCCTCCCGGGGAGTGAGGCTTGCAGAGAAGCCTTGGAATGCATGCTCGTAAGTATACATTGGCTTGGCCGTGTCAGACACGGAGGCCAGCGACGAGGCGTACCACTCGGTGTGATCAGAGATAATCGCCGGCTTCATGTCTTTGATCATGCCAACGATGTAAGTTTGCTTCCCAGCAACTGACACTCGGAAACAAATAGAAAATAACGCCAACATTAATGCAACTCCGATCACTGAATTTTTTGGAATATTTATTTCTCTCCCCATTTTTTTTTTTTTTTTTTT